CGCTGCGGAATTTGACGGCGCTCTATAAATATAATAATAATAATAATTATTATTTATTTAACTTAACCAAAGGGGCCTGGATATCTAAATAGTTAGTAAAACATTAGCATTAGGAATATATGTGTTTGTATTCCTAACATTAGAGTGTTCCTTTAAGTGCAGGATTGCTTCCAGATATCAAGAGGTTGGATCCATCTTTGAAGGTACAATGTTGAGTTTAAATTCACAGAACCCGAGAGTTATGCAATATTATTATGTTGTTGTTCTATTATCATTATGTTGTCTATGTGTGCAGAGCAGCTGAATGTTGTAGTAATCACAGATGAGTGAGTGTTAGCGAAAGCTAAGAGTAAATGAGGATGTTGGCAATTGAACAGAAATGGAAGAAAAGATATCCAACAAAATAGCTTTCGTCAGTGACTTCAGCACTTTTCTATGCTTTTAAATGTTTGTACTTGAGCAATCATACTAATGATATAAGTGTCACTAAGCACAGTTCTTGCAGAATCTAAATTTAGATCCAAATCAGCTTAGTTGAACAAATTGGACTATCTAGAATTATAAATATCTAATGAGGATAGAACTACTGCTATAATTGAGTATCATTCGCAAAAGTAGCCACTTATTAAAACGACTGGAATTTAAAATATTAAGCAGGCTAATTAACAATCACTCAGTAACACAATGTAGATTTAATCTCACTTAACATATGGTTTCCAGTCAATCAGTAAAACAAGGCTGAACTCTCTGATCAGCTGAGTGTAATCTTGATCTGGATTCTCAAAACCTTGGGCATTATCCATGTGATCTAATTAAATCTGTTTACAAGATGTTGCCAGTAAACCCATTAATGCTTTGTAGGCAGACCTTTTCAACCATGGAACACAATCTGCATATTTAAAATCAAGAAGTCTACTTGTAAATAGATTATCTTTGATTTGTTTTGGAATGTTTGGTCAAAGGAAATGAACAATTAAGAAGCAAGCACACACATATTTAGAATAGGGATAGGTAGGCAAAGTTCTCCCTTATCTACCATAATACTCTTAGAACCATAATGCTGCTAAAGTTTCAGGGGAGATGTTGTCCAAACCATCAGGAGTGCTGAAGGTTGCCTACCCCTGTGTCATAGAACATCATATAACGTATGCAGTATGCTGTACCATGGGTAAATAAAACATACAAGTAACTGGTCACAAACCCATTAGGAAACGTGGAGTCTTTTCAAATGAGTTTACACTCTACGGTAGGTTATACAATACTTCTCAGAAGGACGATGGGATAGAAAGTCCATAACAGATTTCAGCTGTACTGTATAACAACAAATAGTGAACAATAATAAAATTTCTCAAATTTGCTAGTTAATTTGCAATTAATAAGAATTAATGACATTACATGCCACCTCTTTCTGTTATGAATCACTGGGGCTGGTTTTACCTGGTACCCCCATCTGGGGTTATCTTGACTTATAAAGGAAAAAAGTAATAGATAATGCAAGTGTTGAGGAGCTAGTATTTTATCTTGCTATAAAAGAAAGAAAATGAGAATGGAGAGGCCTTCCTTTAAGTCAAACTGATCTTGGTGAATTTTTTTTTATATCTCTTTCATACAATATATTGTTCTGCAATGTACTGACACTTTATAAATATTGATGACCATTATAATAGTAATAATAATAAATATAACAGCAATGGAACAGATGTTTAGACTGTCTTAAGACTAGAAAGCTCTAGTGATGGTTCCTCCCTAGTGATGGTAACTCGATATCACAAGGAACTGTAGAACACACAGAACCGTTGAATAATCTAAAGCCCGTTGGCTATGGGATAAGATCAAGCAAAAACACAAAGTGCTAAAGGACAAATCAGGACACACATAAACAAAAAGGGTCAAGAGAACAAACTACTATCACCACAAAGGTAACAGTCACAAAGGGAGAGGAAAGGAATGCAAGATAATAGGAGACACTGACAAATTGCTAAGATGGCACAGAGCAATTAAGGGGTCTGTCAAAAAAAAAAGTCAAACAATGACCATACATGGGAATGTTTAAAAATACCTTGACCCCCAGACTTGTCTGTGTATTCTGGGCGGGCCTTAGACCTTACAGCAGATTGTGTGAAAATTAGGAGTGACAGTCTCTACAGTGTCTACAGTCTCATCAATATTGACAATAATGATATCAACAGTGGCTCATTCGTAAGGCTTGGCCTGCATGTATTAACCCAGTAATAGCTCATCTCAAACAATTTACATAATGACTAATAGTTGTGGAAACCAGTAATCCCAATACCTGGCTATTTTTTTTGGAAACACAAACTACTTATGAAATAAGCATATTCATAACTGTGTTGCCCATATTCAAACAGCGATATCTACTATAACATACAAATATTTACATAGTATAATATTTACACCGTTAAATAGGTTTAAAAGAGAGGTGCACCCATCAAGTTCAGCCTTTCTCACATCTGATTTTGAAGTTGATCCAAAAGAAGGCATAACACTCAGTTTGAAGAACTTTCCAAATTTTGTATCAAACCAGGGAAATAATCCTTCTTGACCCCTGAATGGCAGTCATATCTCTCCTTGGATCAATAAGCTATGACCTCACACATTAAAAATTATAAAGTATTCCTGATAGTATTCATCGAGTACCTGGTTAAATATCTGTACATACCCTGATAAAACCAACTCTTCAGGCAGAGAATTCCACATCCTACTGTAAAAAAAAAAATGTTCCTTTGCCTTAGATTAAATCTCCTTTCTTCCAGTCTAAATGCGTGACTTTGTGTCCTATGTATAGTACTGTTTATGACAATATTTCCAGACATATGAACAGATTTACAGAGAAGCAGCCATATTAAACATGTGTTTGTCTTCTACAGAGTCCTGACTTGGAATTTGACAATAGTGTTTACACATTATACACAATTTAGATGATTAATATCAGTATTTTGTAAACCAAGACTTTTCTCTTTTGATCTAATAATAGATAAAAGAGAAAGAAAAATAAATGCTAAATTACTTTTGTTTAACCATACATTAGGCACATAATCACTCTTGCGATTGCATACAAAATTATTTTATATAAAAAATGGTCACTTACATCACACAATGTAACGGATCGACGGGCACCCCGACTGGGTAACTCCGTTGAAGGATGTTCCTAGCGCTTCCTGAGGGCTCCAAGCACTCCAGCCGACACCATAACCACCGTAGACGCCTCTAGAGAGCAAGGCAGGAACAAGCTCTTACAAGAGCTTAGTAGTGATTAAGCAAGGGAGTATGACAAGCATAGCAATCCCTTGTAGCAGATTCCCCCAATAAGAGTCGGCACTCCAAATTGAGGGTGAAGAAGAACTGAGGTTTAATGACACACACTCTGCTTTTATGCAATTCTCCCATGCAAGGGAGACGCCCACAGACAATTATGGATTACCCAATCACACACTGGTTACATCCCTCCCATCTCCTCCCCTTAGCCTGAGAGGTAACACAATTAGCCGTACAGTTTACAACATACTTTTTACCCAACTTTCATAACTCCAAAACTATACATCCAATATTAATAAAAGTTATTAATCAGCACATTTCAAATATAAACATACCCAAAAATCATTCGAATCCGTTCAGAAGTTCGGAACATAGATATAAGTCAAGTTTGACCGACCGCAAGCATATTTTCATGCCCAAAACAGTTCCAGAGAATCAGGCTGTGCGGTCGGTCTATTTCCCATGTTAAAGTCAGTTCAAACAGACGAACGTCAACCATTCGAACTGTCGAATGCATTGAAGTCTGGAGAAGGTAAAACTTCAGCTGAATTAAAGATGGCCGCTGCCACGTGTTCGTTTGTCGAATGGCGGCCCCCCAGCATTCGGCAACTTACCTACAGCAGGCTCCCAGCTTGGGAGATAAATTGCCTGAACACTTCCACTTCTGGGTGGTCCGCCTGTGTGGTACCTGGTTCAGTAAGCCCCATTTACTGAACCAAGTGGGAGAAAGCCAGGAACACAGTATATTAACAGTCTGGGGCCACTGGGGACAAAGTCTTAAAGGGGCATTGTTCCCAAAAGTCACAGTATGTCCCCAGATGGTTCTTAAAGGGCCAGCAGCAGCATAATAAAATACAATATGCACAAATACTGTATTTAAAGGGCCAAATCTCCCATAGTCAGCAGGCAGGAGGTGGGCACACAGGCTTCTCCAATGCCCAGTGGCGAGGTTGGTTTTGCCACACACAAAAATACCCAATTTATTCTGATATGTTTTTGATATGGCTAGGACTTGTACATTAACTACAAATATTGCATTACCTTGAGGTTAGTCCCCAGTTGTTTTTAGTAAATTCCTGTACACTAAACAGTCACGGAATTCTAATAAGTGAATGAGTAATGGGATACCAGTGATACCCTGGTGTACCTTTGATATAGTTGGGAAATTTAATGTTGGGCTGTGCAGTGTACTTATTGAATTCAAGGAGGAAAACTTGCTTAATTTCAGACAGCTAGGTTGGCCCAAGCATCAATGAAACAACAGCTTGCCTCTTCAGAAGAGGTCTTATTTCAGCCATGGCTCCTATCAGAAAGAAGGTATTGTGCGGCTGTGTAGTTGAAAGGAGGTCCAGCAAATCCAGTGTTTTAGAGGTAGTTGGGTGGCAAAGTCGCAAAAAATTAGTTTGCATAATCTAGAAGAATACATACTCAGAAAACATTTTTTTTTTTTTTTTTAATTCTTTATTTTTCAAGTGCAGAATTGTACATTTATGGAGGCTGTTATTGTCTCCGATGTTCGTGTTATTAGTAACTTACATAAGTATAGTATGAGATGTAGCTAACATTGCACTTATTATTTTTTAAGAAGAAGGTCAAACTGGTGTTATAACATTTGTCATTGGAAGGTAAGTACGTCTCTAGTGAGTCTTTGCGTAATGTTATGGCTTGAAAGTTTGGGGTCGGTCGTTAGGGTTGGTATTGGTGGTTGCTTTATTGTCGTTTACGAAAGGGGTATGCCCAGTGTGGTTCGGCTCTGGTATGTCACATGTATTGTGGCTGCTTGTGGGTTCGTCTGAGTGGTGCTTGGTTGTACTAGTGGTGGTGGTCATACAATGTCGAGTGAACGGTGTGCGAAAGATTACGTCTTGTCTCGACATGGGTCCAGGTTAAGGGCATTTATGTGGAGGTACCCCGCACGACTAGGTGTGTTTACCTCATCGGTATGGTGCGATGGCGCTGTCGAGTGGCAGCTTGTCAAGTCAGTGGGGTCTATAATGGAAGCTGTATTGTGGGTGCCAAGAGCCCAGTGGGGGTCAAGGGGACAGGGTGTGATGTGTCAAGGTAGGTGGTGGGTGGTAGTCCCCTAACCTTAGGGGACACGGGTGGGGGGAGGTGTTGTTGCCTCTTTCTGTAGTGGCTGTCGTGGTTGTTGTAGTTGTACGTGGTGCCTCCTGTTTAGTGCATGGGCTCGTCTGGGGAATATTAAAGTACCGGTTGGGGTCCTAGTGGTAGGTGTCAGCTAGAGAGGTTATCGGTGGGTGGTTGTCTCGTGCTTGGCGCCTGTATGGCATGTGGTGAAGGAGAAAGGTAACATGGAAAGAAACCTAAACAATGCTTCTAATGAGAGGGGAAACAAATGTGAGCACAGGTATGAGAACATAATATCTATATTTGACAGTTTATCAGAGTATTCTGTGGATTTGTGCAGTCCTTTCAGGTCGGAGCTTCTGGCTGTGTGCCCCCTCTAGGTGTGAAGATCACGGCTCTCTCCGGGTCCCAAGTGTGTGAGGTAGAGGGGGTTATCGTTATCGCCGCTGCCGTGGGGAGCCCCAGGGCTCTGAGGAAGGAGTCTGCTTCTGCTAGGGTGGATAGTCTCATCGTGTTGCCCTCCTTGGTTACCGTTAGAATTCGTGGCAGTGTCCATCTATATTCTATGCCTGCGTTACGCAGCTGGCTGGTTACAGGACCCATTGAGCGTCGCCACAGTAATGTGTTGCATTTTATATCCTGGAAGAAGGTAAGCTAACTGGATTCAAAAGTGAGCGGAGTTTTACCCCGGACTGCAGCCATTATGAGGGCCTTTTCAGTGGACGAGTGGCATCTGATTATGAAGTTGTGTGATGCTGTCAGTGGAGCTTGTCTTGGCTTTGGGATGTGGAAGAATCCCTCAAAGGTGAGTTTCTTGGCCTTGGTGTGTGGCAAGAGGGAGGTGGTGAGTCGTCTGAGGTAGTGGGGTAACTCAGTTATGCCGACGGAGTCGGGTATCTTTATGTTTACCTGTCTGTGGCGGTCTTCAGCTATGTCAGCCCTGTTCGTTAAGTTAGCTTGGGAGGACTGTAGTTGGATTATGGATTCTTTGAAGCCTTGTGCCTCTTGTCTTAAGTCCAGTATGGCCTCCTCAGAGGCTTGAGTGCGTGCTGTCACTGCTGTGAGGTCTGTTTTCAGCAGTTCTAGGTCCGCTGCATGTAGCTGCCTCATTTCCAGTAGGAGCTCAGCTATGTCTTGTCTGGTCGCTGGGGTCAGGTCCTTTCCCCTTGCCGGTTCTGTTTGGAGTGCTTGGGTGCATGAAGGTTCTAGTTGCTCCCCGGGGGGTCCCTCAGAGCAGTCTGAGCCATCGGTGCATTCTGGCTCGGCCGCCAATTTTGCGGCTGCAGGGCGCTGTAACATGGCGCTTATGTCCTGTGTGTCTTTACACGCACCTGGTTTTTGGGATCTTCTGCCCATGGTGTCCGGGTTTTGTTGGGGCTGCGTGTACTGGAACCAGGGTGAGTATGTAGGTGTCTCTGTCGGTTCTGGTATTTGCAGCATGGTCCGTATGCCTCGGAGCTCATGGTAGGCCCCAGACTTCCGTTGGGTTTTCCTGCCGGTTTGCGGGAATATGAAGGGCATCTGTGTGTTGCCCTCCCCTGCTGGTGTCGAGGTAGGTAGTTTTCCACCTTCGATGGAGCAGTTTGGGGTCAGATAGCTGTCAGCTTTTCCTTCTGGTTCAGGAGCTTCGAGATATTGCGGCCATTCCGTTCAGACGCTTGGCTCCGCCCCCCACTCAGAAAACATTTTGATTGATCTAAGTGCAGTAACTGAAAGAGGGTACTGTGTGGCCTAGTAGCTGAAAAAAGGAGACCCAATAGTGTCATAGATGGCTGTCTGCCACAGTACTTAAAAAGAGGAGTTTGTTGACACAAAGGAATTCAAGAGAGTTCAACTATTCAGGGGGATCTTGATCTATATATGTCTGAGAAATGAAGTAGGGCATTGTATCCTGGCTATTGAAAGTAGACCCAGATAACCCTGTAGCTTGAAGGTAACTGATGGCCCTGTAATAGTAAAAAAAAAAAACATAATGGAGGCAAGGTGGCCCAGCGAGTGATTAATAAACCAGGTGGACTGGATAGAAATGCTAGAAACGCAATAATTTTTTTGTTTTGTTTTTTAAATTAAATTAAAATATGCTAATCAATTTTTGGAAACCCATGGAAATATTTGGAATCACAGAACAACACAAAGTGGTCCCTGTATGCAAATTAACTCGGGTGTTAGCTAATGACAACACTATACTCACTCACATGATGTAAAACAAGAGCTCGGACTAGCGTAGTTCAATATTTGTACTTTTTAAACCCAAGTGAATAATTCAATTTAGTTTTAAGGTGAGAAAAACTAACTATGATCTTTAATTGAACACTTGTCTAATTACATCTTAAAGGGCCCAAATACCAAAAATGACCATAATTAAGTATATTGTTTACACACTACAAGTGTTTTGCCCTAAACAACTAGAATTTATTGAATTTGCATAAACAGCCCTAGATAAGGATTAGAGATTACTGCCTGCTGTGGTGTTGAGACTCTGTAGAGATTAAATTATTTGTCATTAGGACTAAACCTTGAAATGCATGGTAATGCAAGTAGCTAATGGGAAGTATAAGGAATGCAATCTATTATGATTAGATTTTTTTATTTATTACTTTTCAGCCTGGGGGATGTCTTTTACTACTGTTTTTCACACTTTCCTTCTTTGTACTGTTACCTGTTGTTTACAAAAACTCTTGTACATGTCAAGCCATCAAACAATATTATTTCAACTCTTAATTAAAAAAAAAATTAAAAAAAAATTATGTATTTTACCTTTTTTTTTATAGGGAGAAGCAGATATATAAAAAAATAATAATATTAAAAAAAAAAATAAAAAAAAATAAAAAAAGAAGAAGAAAATGCTCCTTTGTAGATAAGGGTTGTGTAGAAATGGGTGTTACTGGTTAAGCAGTTACCAAAACAGGCTGAGATGCTAACAGAATGTGACATAATCGTTATATAAGATAATATAGTGCTAGATGTGATTTGACAGGCACACTCCGTTAATTCAACCAGAAGTATATAAATAACGGTTTACTTGCGGGATGTATCGCTTGAACTATTGATTGGAAAATGTATGTTCAAAGAAACAATATAACAATTACTTTATATCAGGAAATCATTGATCATTATTTAGTGTTAAGACAAAGGAGAAAGAATGTACAAATACAATCAGAACTGAAGCAGAACACTGTTGTACAAATAACAGAACATCATGAGAAGAATGTTCGAAAGGTAAATAAAACAGTAAATCAATATGGTTATCAATAGAAACAACGCGTTTTATTAAGAGGATCTTATGGGAAGTATAAGACATGATGATCTGTAAAAGATAAATTGGATAAACTAGCAACTAAAATAGTAAGAGCTATTTCTCCTCTTATAAATTTTGTATTCATACTGTATATTTTTAGAAGAAAAAAAATGTGGACGTTTTTAAATGAGGAAAATATTATTTTTTTTCACAAAAATTATGCCGATATGCAATCCTAAATATGAAAAATTGCCAAGAACTCTAAAAAAAATTGTAACTTATTTGACAATAAATCGATAAAAAGTTGTTGTACACTGAACGGATATCAATTTTCTATTACTATAATGGTATATGGTTGGATCCTATCCCATCACTTTATCGTCATATGCATTAAAGCAGCACTATAGTGCCAGAAAAACAAACTTGTTTTCCTGGCATTATAGTGTCATTAGGTCCCCCCCACCCTAAGGGCCCCTTCAGCCACTTACCTTTCTCCAGCCCTGGGCTCCCTCAACGCTGGTGACCTCTTCTCCCCCTGCTAACGCTAGATCCGAATGCGCATGCGCGGCAAGAGCCACTCACGCATTCAAACTGTCCACAGGAAAGCATTACTCAATTTCTCTGAAACTGCTATGTTTTCAGCTGCAGGGTTAAAACTAGAGGGACCTGGCACCCAGACCACTTCATTAAACTGAAGTGGTCTGGGTGCCTATATTGGTCCTTTAATTTCCACTTAAACTTTATCTCAAACTATGCATTCAACTTTAGAAATATTGAATATGTACTCGGTGGTACAAAGTCACCTTAGTACAGTCAACACAACCCATCATTTAACATGAAATCAAAATTTGCTCTTCTTAACTTTTTACTTTTTAGAGCCATATGATTATAGTGTTCGCCCACTCTTTGTGCAGTGTGTTCATTTAATATTTGTAAACCTCCAGCCTACCACAAGTGGCCCACCCACTGTCCACAGTTAAATTATAAAATATATCATGCAGCATTCTTCTATACAGCTCAAGAAATTTGGAAATTCTTAAAGGAACCATCAAATGGTTCTAGATTCTAATTTATTAAATTACCTCAATAGTTATTCGTGTTTAATTAGCTTGTATTTTTTCTATGAGTTATGTTGGACTGTGTCTGTCTTATACTTAAAATACAGCAAAATAATAATATATTTTTCTCATAATAAATTATAATACGTTCACAAAAAATGAAAATGACTGATAAAATTATTTGTTTAATCTACAACAGAGGTGCCCAAAAGGCAGGGCCAGATGAACAGCCCAGTGGGCCTGGTGCTGACAATTATGATGGGCCTAATTACAGAATCTTATCTACTAAAAACACTAAAACACTCATACCTCCCAAGCGTCATGTATCTGATGGAGATGGTGCTGGAGAGAAAGAAAACAGCAGCTGTATAAAAACACATACTCTATGCTAATCTCCCTCTAATTTATGTTTTCATCTTTCAAGTAAATCCATAACCCCTAACAGCAGTGTCCAGTCAAGCAGGAAGTCAATGGGCGTGGTAAAAGGGTGTGCCACTGACGCAAATCACGTAACCTGCCAAAAGGGGCGAACATGCCCAAAAAGAGGACATGTCTGCCCAAAGAATTAGGCCAGCCTGGCATGAATGCATGTCAGGCTGCCTGCCAATCATGCAGCTGGCCAGCTAAGGGCATACTATGCAGACAGCATCCTGAGCTTGGCATAAATGCATCTAATGATGCGCTCACTCAACGCTTTCTAAGGACTGTCCCCTAGCACTCGCTGGTCCACTTGACTCCTTACCTTCTTACTAGCAGGCAGAAGCTCCTGGTATATGGTCTGGGACAGAGAAAAGGTGGTAGTGAGTGTAGAAGAAAGGGAACATACCACAGTGTTAAAGAGACCAAAGTCAGCATTACCTTAACTATATTCATTGTCAGCTAGTCCACACAAGTTTTGTTCCCATACATCCCTCTTAAGTTTCCATACTTAAGCAAGAGTATGTGAAAAGTAGTTAAGGGTGTAACCTTCCTTGGAAAAATATACCAGCCTTACTAATTTGCATAATTAATTATGTATGGATGACATCACATGATGTAAATCACAAGGAGTGACATAAGAAAAAATGCTGTAAAATCACCAAAAAACTACTTACAGTTTGATTATACTGTATAGATGAATTGCTCCCAGTGTCCCCATGTCTCCCAGTGCCCCCATGTCTCCCAGTGCCCTCATTACTCAGTGCCCCCATGTGTCAATTACTCCAGGTCTCCATGTTCCTATGTATCAGTGTCTCAGTGCCCCGTGTCTCCGAGTGTCCCCTAGTCTCCGAGTGTCCCCTAGTGTCGTGTCCCCAAATCTCCCAGTGACCCTATATATCACAGTGTCTCTATGTATCAACGTGTATCAATGCCCCATGTCTCCCTGTGTTCTCCAGTATTCCCATGTATCTATTTCCCCATGTCTCCCAGGGTCCCCATTTTACTAGAACACTAGAAACACGGGGAGACCTAGGGACACGGAGACACCAGGGACACTGGCTGGGACACATGGGGACACTGGGAATATAGGGGACACTTGAAGACATAGGGACACAGACACCAGGGACACATAACACTAGGGACACTAGCTTGGAGACATGGGGACATTGAGACACTTGGGGCACTAGGAGACATGGGGACAGTGAGACACAGAGACTTGGGGACACTGGGAGACTAGGGGGCACTTGGAGATGAGGGGGCACTGAGACACCAGGGACACTGGCTGGGAGATATGGGGACACTGAGATACAATGGGACACTGTGTCCCCAAGTGTCTGTGTCATAATCTCTCCCAATGTCCCTTAGTGTCTCAGTGTCCCCTTGTCTCCCAGTGTCTGTCACAATGTCTCCCAATGTCCCTTAGTGTCTCAGTGTCCCCATGTCTCCTTGCAGCCTTTCCCCCCATCCCTCACTTCCCTGAGCTGTAGGCTATCTCTGCAGGGTGGGAGTACCTGTCTGGACTCTCTGTAGCTGCTTCCCTGCAGATCAGTGAGTAGAGATAGGCAGGGAGGGATATGCTGGTACGTCCTATCCCTGCCTCTCTCCACTCACAGCAACCCCTTCTGGGCGGTGCTGGTATTGCATAGTAATCTCTGTTTACACTGAGAAAAATACCAGCATTTGTATTGCCAGTATGACTGCAATATTGGCACTAGCCAGGCAGCCTCAAATACTGGATGTGCCAATAAAATAAAAGCCAGGTGGAATCCCTAAGAGTAATGTGTTAAAAAAAAAAAAAAAAAAAT